TTCCCTACTTTTTACTACAGTGTTTTGTATTTTGACTATAACATTGTCATTACTCAATGAAAATCAAAAAGTTTTTTTACCAAAATGATCAGCGAAAAAGCTCTACAAAAATAGATAAAGGAGAAAGTTTTTAGAACATCCTTATTATTCGTATATGTGTAAAAATAAAAAAGTGCATGCTTTTTTGGGCCCTCACTGTAGCTGATGATAATACTTTCATAGTGAAGCCAGGATGTCGAAGCAGTATTCGTTATCTTCATCAGCTACTTCAACAAAAACATGAAGAACATATGAAAGAGATAACACTTAAATCAAAAAGACACAAACAAACAATTATACATCAAAATAATACAACAATTACGGATCTTTCTAAAGATCCAACTCAAATAGTTGCAACACCTTCTGTTCATCAACACTCTATGGAAACAGCAGGTTAGACTTTATTTTTAATTGATTCTAGTTCTACTACTCAAGATGGGTTCCAAGTAATCATGAAAATCATAAAATATTTAACAAATATATTATTTTATGTAATTGAGAATTTCTAAATGGTATCTCGAGAGCTTCTCAAAAGATAAATTGTGTTGCATTGTGATTTCACAAGAACGGTAAAATCTAAAAATTACGGATACTGATACTGAAAGCGAAGAAATAAGTAATATTTAGAAGCTGTTTCTTAAAAATTGAATGTCTTAATTTAGGACCAATTAATAAGTTAAATAATTGCAATATTATTCTTCGAATATTAAATGAATGGTATGATAAAAATTGTCATGCAATGAACATCTCAAATGGCAAATTAATAGAAAATGAAGATTTTCGGCTTTTGATTACTTCTAATGGTTCATTAGAAGAAGCTTGCATATCCTGCTCATGCGGAGTCAAAGTACAATTACCAAAGATTCGTGAATATTTTTCTTTATCTAATTACTACAAGCACATGAAATCAAAAAACTGTTCTATGATAAAGAAGAAGAAATCCACCAGTTGGAATGCTAACAATGAGTCTAGTACAGCTGCTGATCATGAAACATTCGATGGTGAAGCATCACTTAATATTTCGATGAACGATCATCCACCACTTTCAGCTTCAACTATCACAGTCGGTACTACTATTGATACAGATACATCAGTTAAACGTTCAATTAGTTAAAAAAACAAAATTTTATCAAAAAGACAACGTACTTAAAAATTTGAACAATTTTTAGGATTCAAATGTAGATAACTTATGTTTGTAATAGATGAAAGTTTTAAAATAGTATTGATTCTATAGTGTTTTATTTTTCTATGAGATGTATCCTATTTTGTACACATATTGATATGAATTCTTTTCAATAAAATGAATCAAATATAGAGTTCAGATAGGAAAAAGATGAAAAACAGTATCTATACACGATATTGAGAAAATTCACTCAATACATATAATTCGTCAACATCTCAATTGAACTATTAGATTTCATTCGAAATTTGTCTAATTAACTTAATAAATTTATTTAATGAATATAGATTTGAAGTAGAAAACTACAGCTAAAACGGCGATGAATAGTTTGATTCATGTGTATTATGATATCGAATGATTTCTGTTCCTAATAAATCTGTTTGCATATTCTTATTTTATTCTTTTTTCTCAGTCTATCACTATAAATTATTTACATAACGAACGGCACACTGTTAACGAACTGCCAGCGGTCAAACAATTCAGGAAGAAAAAAATTCTATCGAAATCAAATAAAATATTGCACAGCGTAAAAGTTGATAGTTGTTCTGTTTTTCATCTACAGAAAATTCACTCTCTCTCTCGCTCGCTCTTTTCGCTTTTCTTTCTCTCTCTGTATATATATATGTCACTGATCTTGAAGAAATTCTTCATTTATCACTGATTTACATGCAAGCAAACTCACTTTCAATTACTATTGAAAAAATACAAATAATTTTTACATAACTGCTATTGTTTCTCTTGGAACAATAAAAGAAATGTTTCGAACATTTCCACGTCTTACTTTGCCCAATAATGTTCTCTCTTTCGAAGGAGAAAATTTTTTCGAGCTAATTCGACAAACATATGGAGAGGTTTTTAACGAGTTGATGGAGGTGTTATCGATTAATACAGTATATAAGTTACTGTTAACAAAAAATGATATTGTTTCTTTTTTTCAGAAAAAATATCGGGGAGTTGGAAAAAATAACTCAACGAGCAGGCCTTCACCTAGATGATGGTACTATTATGCTCAAGCCAGGATTACGTCTGGATTTCGATCGTTTGATGGAAGCTCTTCATGCTATAAAGGATCAGGACGGGTAAGAAGAATCTACGACAGCTGCATATGACAATATTTGCTCTTTGTTGAAGAAGTTCATCGAAAAACATCGAATAAATGACAATAGTGATTTACAATGTAACTATTCGTTTCTAATTGCTTTTATCGAAAATATTTTCAGTAATGTTCCGAAAAATAAAAATAATTATCGATACACTGAAGCTGTAATAAACTTTGTACAGTCATTATTCATTTTAGGAGGACGAAATGTGTATGAATTTGCCCGACTAAATCTACCAGGTGCGCTTTCCTCATTGTCAACCATGAATGCCAGTCTTGGAAAAGCTGGTGCATGCATTGAGGAAGCTGAATTTCGATACGATTTTCTTCATCATCATCAAAATTCATATGATTATCAAGTTGCTGTTTATTTTGAAGATGCGACTGCAGTCATACAGAAAATTACTTATAATGCAGTCACTAATACTTTCACCGAATTTTCTATTCCATTAAAATATGGCATTCCTATTTTTCATCACTATCAGACTGATTCTTTTGATCAGTTAAAATACTGGTTTGAAAATACAGATAAATCAAATTACTTAAATGTACATGTGGTTCAGCCTCTTATAGTATCTAATCCATATTCATCGCCATTTTTACTGGCGGCATATGGCATCAGTAATACATTCACAGCAATCGACGTTCTTAATCGATGGATGTGGATTTTTGAAAAGTCTCGACAGTCGAATGTTCGTGTTGTCGCCTTTTCAACTGATTGCGACTCCAGATATTTACTGGCGATGCGTCTGACTACAGGCTTTTTCGCAAAGCTTGATAGTACTTCAATAACTAATCCTAATTATGTACTTAGTGTCAATTTGACAAAAAAATGGTCAGGCTATTTTTTTATGAAAACTCGTCAAGTCTTTTTCTGCTTATAAGATCCAACACATTTGTGCACTAAACTTCGTAATCGTATGCTTTCTAAAACTGTATCGCTATTGATTGGAAAGGAAGGTGTTTCTACTAAAGTATTGACAACACTAATTCAGACTAAATCTAAATTTGTACATGGACTTGTCAAAACAGAC